TTCCTATAGAATAACTAAAGTACTGTTGGGGAAAAAGGGGGCAGCCCCCCCCCCCTTGTTGCTACACTGTACGTGCCTGACTAATACTTATAGCTTTTGGGTAAATTAGGAATGGAAATCATCTTTTTTCAGGCATTATTAGAGCTATGAAGGTCTTACGAAGAAATATTGGGGATGGAGGGTTGAAGCCACGAACCCACAAAAAAATTCCTGGACTAGCAGGAGTAAATAACGTAAAGGTACAATATTGTTCAGGGGATAAAGCCGCAATTAATCATTATTATCTATCTTTTAGTGTAAATTGGCATTAGTAGGCATAAAACACCTCAGTTCAAATAAACTGGTCTTCAAATATGTATTTAAAATTACTGTAAGTCATATTCAGAGCCCCGTTCCTCCCCTCCGATGTATATGTATATCAATTAATAAGTCATGAGATAAGATAAATGAATCAAATGTGTTAAAGACGACATTACTGACAACATAATTTTAGACAAATAAAACTTTTCCGAGAGTTTTGGATGAGAAATATAATGTCTCAGAGCGGGAGATTGTCCTCGCCTTTTACGCCCTCTTTCTTTTATCAGTAATTTGCAGTTTAATTAAAAGCTATAATTTTAGATTCAGTGGTTGATTTTTTTTTTTTATTTAATAGAAGTGTATGCCTTTGACTGCCAATAGGATGTATGAACATGCTTAACTTTGGTTTCATCATTTCATGTATATATATATATATATATATATATATATATATATATATATATATATATATATATATATATATATATATATATTGAAACAGAAAAAAATCCACAGTGCTCGGTAGTTTACAGGTAAATCTTTTTAAAAAAGAAACACGAAAACTTCTGAAGATTTGAAATGAAAGCGCTTAAGCTAAACTAAAGGTTTTCGTGTTTCTTTTTTAAAAAGATTTACCTATATATATATATATATATATATATAAATATATATATATATATATATATATACTCTTCAAAAAAAGAAACGCATAGTAGGAACAATGCCCTGAAAATTTTTGATAGTTTTGTCATACCTTTTATTTTTGTATGAATACGATGTATTCGAGTAAAATGAATGATTTTTTAATGCAATTGTTAACTTTACAGTTATTCTACAAGTCTCACAGACAAAAAGTCCTGATTTTGCAAAATTTCCCCCAAAATGTTGATCTCAATTTTCATTTGTTGAATTCCGATGCAATTCCTTTAGGTACTAAGGGGCTATCAAAAGCGGGGGTTCTCGATATTTTGAATCTTGTTTTATCTGAAAAATGACGCCTCCTAAAATTGCTGCATCTGAATGTTGCGTGGAACAAAAAGGAAAATGGGCGACTGGAAGCAGGGGTACCGCACTCTACAGTTGCAAGAGGTTTTAATGTTACACACAAACCATATCTAACATATAAAATGTAAACCATTAACATCGAACACCCAATATTTGCAAAAAATATGGTAGACTACGTGTGACATCAGCAGTACAGCATCACTTCCGAGGATTACGCAAATTGCATGCATGTAATGCAAGGACGTCATCTAAAGCATTAGTTATCCCTGAATTGAACAGATCATCTAACAAGACCGTTTTCAGTTGACTACGAATTATTGCAAGAGGATTTTTCATGTCATTGTTCCGATACAACACCCCAAATATCGATTCAAAGATCTCAGATGAATAGAGTATGACCACAACAACTGCTGAACATTTTGGTTAACCTAATACTCCAAAATGTTTATCTGAAAGCCTCTTATAAGTTTAAGAGTGCTAATGCTTTTTAATGAAGGTTAGATAGATAACTGCCTCCAGGACGTTAAAAAAGTTGGTGGTGGTAGTGTAATGATATGGAAAATGGTATTATAAGAAAGTAAGATTGATTTGGTTCGAATCCAATACACGTTGATTGCAAAAGGTACTCTAACCATGTTCTACCTACACATACCCATTCAATTATGCAGCATCCTAGAGCCGTATTGCAATCACACAATATACAGCCACATATGGCTCATTTGACACACCTATTCTTGCTAAGAAACAACAACTTGTTTCAGTCACAGTCATCTAAATTGCTAGATTTAATCCAAATTAAGCAGCATTTGCCAAAATGGATTAAAATGATTTGCCAAAGACAATCGCATCCCCAGACTCTGCAACACCTGACTAAATTACTACACTTGGAGTGGGAGAGTATTCCTATACAGTTTTTGTTTCACACATTTGCTTCCATTAGATGCCGTTTGTGGCTATCATTTGTGTCTGCGGGGGGCATACCAGATATTGATCTTCCATGCTCTTAAATTAAATATAATTTTAAAATTGTTGAGTAATTATGACATTTAGATAGTATTCCTATTGCTTACCACATTTCTGTTTTATCAATGCATCATTTTACTAAATAATCTTTATGTTCAATGTGTCACTAAAATTCTACGATGCGTTTCTTTTTTTGAAGAGTTATATATATATATATATATATATATATATATATATATATATATATATATATATATATTCTCAACCTTTATTTACACTTGACAACGAAGATGAATTGCCTAAACATGTATGCATCCATTTCTTTGATCACTTCCTGTGACGACCGGAAGTGTCGACGGCGGACGATCTTAACAAAAATGGGCTCGCCTACTATGACTAGGATAAAATCTTATTTTCATTAATAAAGGCTTCTTTACACACAAGACATCTGGGAAAAATAAAATTGTCGGCTTATTACAAGTAAATGATTTTTCAAGCTCAAGAATATACTCATCATATTCAAAGGTGTGCTGAAATCTCGGTGATGTCTTTATCATATTAACAGTCCACTATAATGAATCTGTGGTTTGTAGTAAAATTAATGTCTGGAAACCTTTAACGATCTTGTAAATATTTTTTGTTACATTTGTTAATTTCTGAACGATTTGACCTGGGACATCGCCCATGATAAATGATTATCACGTCCCAGATTTTTTATGCGAATATTCGGAAGGTTTAATGTTGATAAAGATGGCTAAATGGTTATTGACCAAACTGTATCTGTTGACAATATGGCGAGTGTTTCCGCAAAACTCCTTACAGGAACATCTTTATGCAATCAAAATTCCATAAAAATTGAATTCAACCAGAGTTTTTTTTTAACGGGCATCGGTTTGGTGGATATTTGCGCATTCTGGCAGTCATTTTTCAAATATTACATACACAAGAGTTCGCTAAATAACTTTAAACGGATGAATAATGATTTCTATGATAGGGGTGCAAGCTAGCGCACTCTCATACACAACTTGTTATTTTGAAATTAATCACGTTAAAATCTTATTTTACATTTGTCCGTAACAGAGTAGGGGGAGGTAACTTTTTTTCTGACAATTTTCTTTTGCCTAGTTATGAAAATTCTTATTAAGATGCTACCTATTGCTAAAACTAAAAGGTTAAACACTGGCAAATTCCTGCATTTAAGAAAAATAAGAGGAAGCCACCCCACCCCAAACAGAATAGGATTTTTAATTTTGAGTAGTTGCAGTCACAGGGGCCGGTAATTATTAGATAAGTATATTTCATTTTTACGTTTCAGCTATATAAATATAATATGTTTTACTGTGTGACCGTTGGGGCGAGCGCAGTTGTACCATCAAAAACACTTGAAAAATTGATCAGCCACTTCATACATCAAGCCGCACGAGACATCTCGACTAGCTGTGACGTCACACGACGTCACGGAGCTCGTCGGAGCTTACGGAGACAGCCGAGCGTCTCGTTGAAACTATAGACCTAGTGCAACTTAGGTCGAAAAACATTGCGAGTTATTTTTTGTTTCTTTGAAAGATTTCTACAAACTGAAAGCCTTTTATGCTTTACGTCATTATTTATTTATTTATTCGCGCAAAGGACATTGGGTAGTGTAGGAATTCTGGGAATGTTTCACAGAGAAATTTGCCTGACGTATGTACAGATTTCAATCCGAATTACCTCTGTTCATACACGTTAGTCTACTGAGCTCGCTTCGCGACGCTCGCTGCGCTCGCTATAATATACACATGTACATATACAAAGTAAGAAATATTTCTTTTGGTGTATTTAGTGAATAAGTAAAATCAAACATATATAGTATTACCGGCCAATGTGGGTGCAGTTTATCAGGGGGTTGTTACTGCATGTTAATTTTTTGTGGAGGTTCCCTCCCCCATCCTCACCCCCACCCCCAACTTACTTTCGAAAATGAACCATTGCTATTGGGCCTTGCAATGTTAGGATCGCACAAAATATTACTGGTCATGTACTTAGTATTCTATCATTGAACTGATAATGTCATACCTGGTATTCAATTATCCAAGTCATTTATGTTTTTACAATCACATAATTTTTATTGCCCTATATGACGTTACAATATGTTATACAAATTATAACGTTCCGTTCACAATTGTCTAGTACAACAATGCCTTACTGCAAACTCTTTTAAAGGAAAAGTAATATAGATATCCAAAAAAAAAAAAGTTCTACCCTAACAAAAAAATACTATAGTTAACTATAGTTAACTATAGTTATAACTTTGACACTTTGAAAACTTTGATTTACTATAGTGATAACTTTGACACTTTGAAAAACTTTGGCGAAAACTTTGACACTTTGAAAAACTTGGATACTTTGAAAAACTTTGGCGAAAACTTTGACACTTTGAAAACTTTGGCGAAAACTTTGACACTATGAAAAACTTTGGCGAAAACTTTGACACTTTGAAAAACTTTGGCGAAAACTTTGACACTTTGATTTACTATAGTTAATTATAGTAAACTATAGTTAACTATAGTATTTTTTTGTTAGGGTATAAAGCTTGAAGTCAACACTATCTGTTATCAAGATTTCATTAAATTTTTTAATGAGGCATTTTTTGACCCTTCGTGGGCTTAACTCTTTTTTCACAATTTTTAAAATTATCAAGCCCTTTGACCGCCGAAACATGGCTGAAAAAATGCCGACTCGGCGTTAAACAATATTCAATCATTCAATCAAGCCTTTTGAAGAGGATGTGGCCCTTCATTGATGAATCTTGAATCCTCTTTACCCAGGGATACTCTGTTCCAATTTAGTTGATATTTGTCCAGTGGTTAAGAGAAGATGAAACTGTGAAAAAGTTTACAGACGAATGCCTTACAAAATGTGTTAAGAAAAACCTCACTTGGGCTGAAAAATTGACGTCTTTTCATTATTGATTTTCCTTCTCGTATGTTATTTTCGTAGAATATAACAATTTATAAAACATTTTAATCAGAATTTACTACATCCTTATTAATTTCTGTTTGACAATTTCACCACTCTATACTTGTAATGACATCGATAAACATTTAAGTATATTTATAAGTAAAGTCATGACATTTTATGCGTTCCTCTAATTTTGATCCATCCAAGTGATTTATCAGAAACCAGTCAGTTGACTTTCTTTGGATATTTGTATTTACTGGCTTTTTGCCTACAGTCTTTAGTATTCCAACGCCGACGGTAAATGATCCTTTTGTAGAAAGTTCACATTCGTTGTCATCTTGAACATTAAATTCGACAAGAAGAATTTTCTTCCCAAGTTCTGCTACGTCAACTGAACATACAAAGTAGTCGGAAGTGTCGATGTTCTCTTTATCAGGAAACTGTCCCTTTTCAGCCAGATTATTTGGGCATGTTTTCCTTATGCTACTTTGCTTTGCATTTTTTTGATCCCTTTTTTGTTTACATTTTCCGCCTCTGTAACTTTTTGATACAGCAGTGTTTAATAATTTCGTAAAAAGAGTTTTTCTTACAGCCACATTTTCTCCTTTCTTAACTGGAACCAGAAGAAATGAGTGTTTTTTCCTATTTGGTTGATCTCTTGCGTACTTTGGTAATCTGCCATACAAAAGTTTAAAATCGACCTTCCTTCCATCCTTTACGAAAGCAACATGTTTATCTTTAAAGGATAAATCTACTTCTCGTTTTAAGCGTTTATCTAAAATAGACAGAATATATTTTAAGTACCGTAACGTCCTATTTCCAATCATTCTATGTAAGAGAGGAAATTGTTGCAAATACAAAAACTGGACCTGCAGCATATCTTTTAAATCTCCGCAAATAAAAAAAAAATTCCAGGGTTACAATCTTATGATGTAATGCTTTTTCGGAATATGAAGTATGGTTTGCGCGATTTGAATGACTGAGAACAAGATTTATCATCATATCGTTAAAATTCATAAAATAAACATGTATTTATGATCTGAAACCCGTTAATATCATTCGAAACTTTCCGTACATGTAAAACAAAACTTAATGTCTATCACAATTAAATGGACTATATTTAATAACATAATTTTAATTTTCTAGTTTTATTTTCTTTCTACTTGACGGGGATTGCCATTTACTTCCTTCTTTACATTCAATAGCTAAAAATGCAGTGTATAATGCTGAAAGTGTTCTTTTACTCATTAAGTGGTTTGAAGTTCACTCTTTTTTATTGATTAAAAAGAATACTTGTTCGGAAAGGCAATCGAGAAACCGCTTAATTAAAAATATATCATGCAATTTAACGAACAATTAGAAGCAAGGATTTTTGTTGATTGCAATTTTTGTCCTATACATGTAATATCCACACCAAGTCGTTAAGAGGAAATGTGTGCTCTTTTAGCACATTTGTGTAAAATTTATATATTACAACGTGTAATTCATATTCTGTATACTTGGATAAAGTCTCAGTTAAGAAAGAACACTTTTAATTGGTCTTTGCAAATAAGATAACTAGGATTTGCAGAATTTAAAAGGAAAACAAAACAAATTTCATACAAATAAAATACTTACACCTGTATCTTCTTAATGGCATAAATTTTCAAACAACGAGATATTGTACACATATTTTTTTTTACTTTCAGCCTTTAAAATAATTTTATCTCTGTTATAGTTTTCTCCAGTTTTCATATAATTTCAATGTCTATATAATGAATGTTGATTTAAATCAAAGTTTGCATATAGTAAAATAAAGATAATGTTGATATATCTCACCTGTTTGCACAGATTGACATATAATGAGTTCACATGCGTATCCAATCAGTATTGCTTTGACACAAATATTGAACATGTTCTGTCGCTGATACAATTCTAATATGTTTTCTATATGGATGGATATTCTGAAACAATCAGGAAAGTATTATATATGTGTATGAGCTTCACTCAGTAACAGGAAGTATTGATTACATTCCATAAATAGTGTTATGGAGATAATTTTCCTAGAAATACTTTAAATTTTTTAAAGCTATATATGGAGTACACTGTATTTGTGATAGATTCAAATGATTAAAATTAAAAGATCTTTTTTTTTTTTTTTTTTTACTTTATTGCAATATAAAGATATGACTTTTATGTAAATTGTAAAATTGAATGAAATTAATCGTGTTTCAGAGATGTCAAAAAGATTAAATTTATTAAAACCAATTTATTTGCCGACTCAACATTTCACTAACATCGAAGTAAGCCTAGTCCTTTGGATGAGTATAAATCGAGTAGCAGTAGGTGCTGGCACGAAAAAGATCCCTCACTGCCCAATGGCCTTATGAGTACGAGTACATGTAGCGAATACAGTACAAAATTCGTAGCCGTCCACCGGCAAGCGATAGCCTCTTCACATGAGTGAAAAATTCTCCAGAGGAATGTTAGACAACAAACAAAAATTTAAAGAGGTCGGAAAAATTCGTGAATTTTGCTATGCCTGTACCGTGCAATATAAAAGTCGAACGAATATCTTTAATTTCGTTATCTAAAATTTATAAGGAATTTCTTTGAAACAAGCATAAACCAGAAGTCTCTGTCGAGACTGAAGCTCTACTGGTTTGTACTTATAATAAAGAAAGAGAAAAGTAGCAGTTGGGATTTGAAACTTTACGAAAGCAATAAACAGAATAATGACAAAAACCGATACACTGAATTATGTATCTTAGTGTAGTCTACTTGTGTGCCAAGTTATATTGAAATCAGACCAAAACTATAGGAGGAATAGCATTTTAAATGTATTTCAAAGAAATTTCTTTTTTAAGTAACAACAGCAACACCGTTCATTGAAACAAAAACCTATATACAGAATTATGTATTTAAGTGTAGTCTACTTGTGTGCCAAGTTATATTGAAATCAGACCAAAACTGTAGGAGGAGTAGCATTTTGAATGTTTTTCACATAAATTTCTATTTTTAGTAACAACGGCAACACTGTTCTTTGAAATCAAAAACCAATAAACAGAATTATATATGTTAGTGTAGTCTACTTGTGTGCCAAGTTATAATAAAATCTGACTAAAACTGCAGGAGAAGTAGCATTTTGAAAGTATTTTTTTAAATTCTATTTTTAGTAACAATGGCAACACCGTTCATCGAAATCAAAAACCGCTACAGAGATTTATGTATCTTTGTGTAGACTAACTGTAGGAGGAGTAGCATTTTGAATGATTTTCACAATTTTTTCTATTTTTAGTAACAACGGCAACACAGTTCATCGAAATCAAAAACCGATATACAGAATTATGTATCTTAGTGTAGTCTACTTGTGTATAAAGTTATATTAAAATCAGACCAAAACTGTAGGAGGAGTAGCATTTTGAATGATATTTACAAAAATTTATATTTTTAGTAACAACGGCAACACCGTTTATCGAAATCAAAAACCGATACACAGAATTATGTATCTTAGTGCAGTCTACTTGTGTGCCAAGTAATATTAAAATCAGACCAAAACTGTAGGAGGAGCAGCATTTTGAAAAATTGTTTACAGACGGACGGACGACGGACGCATTACTATCGCATAAGCTCTTCTGGTCTCTGACCAGTAGAGCTAAAAAGGAACCACAAGATGCTGCGGTCAGATTTTAAAAGAGATCAAGCCGGGTATTGCCATTTAAATTGTACTTTCGTTATATATGACGCCAAAAGCCTTAATTTGGGCTATAAATTGAAAAAGATTAGACAAATGCTCGCCGAAGAATTTTAAAAACGTTGAAAAAATCCCTTAAGCAAAACAAAGATTTTAGAAACCTTCGACTGGCATTAGGGCTATTCACCAGCTAGTTTCGTTATTTCTGGCAAAAATTACATTTGTACACCATCATTGCGAAGGTTGCATTGATGATCTTTTTCAGCATTGTAATTTTGGAAGCAAATTGAAAGAGGGGGGGGGGGTCTAAACCAACAAAAAAAGGTAAACCCTAATTTTTCAATAACTATATAATATATGTCTTTGCAACAACAAAAAAGTGGTGCCCCCGGTTTCGACGCCTATGGTTATATAAAAATATAGAGATTTTGTGACAAATAATGTAACAACGTGTACGCGAAAGGTAAAAGTCAATAATATGATTTAGTTAAAGGCTAAGTATATTCGACTCGCCATCTCGTCCCCTTATCATAAAAGTATTTTCTCCTTGCATTAAAACAACACTCAAATGACATTGGTTTTCTTTATTATTTAACATTGTTCATTTTCCTAACAGAAAAAAATGTCCATGCATGCCTTACCATAATTTGTGCTAGAGTAATCCGCAGTTTTTTGAGCTGGCCTAATTTCTCTATCTCCATGCAAACATTAACTATAGCATTAAAATATATTTAGTGCTTTTGTTTTGATAAATTTTCTTTATGTATAACAAAAATTTACCGGTATTACGTAATGACCATAGCTGCAGAACTGTAGCTCTCTGCTTGAGAAAATTCGGACAGATAAAGCAGAGAGTTACAGATGCAAGCGTTGTAAAAACCTTCGATTTACGCCGACGATTTTTTGTCGCTCACTATGGGTATTTTTTCGTGTACTTTATATTTTCCTCAGCTTGAAAATAATTTTAAATGGTATTTTATAATTAATTTTATATCGTAAACTGAAGTAAGGTATAATGATGTATTCTTCAGCGTTTCCTCGATTCGCAAGCCCTTTAAAGTAATCGGGATCGAGATGTAAAAAACTAACACTTCCTTCTTCCGCTGGCTTCGCGAACGAGCAGACGGTTTTTTCAGCATATATTGGTATCGGAAAAAATCGTCATTTCTTAGTCGAAATTTTTTGTTTGTTATTATCAACAAAGCTTCAATAGATTCTATAGGCACGTTGTGCATTATTATTTAGGCACGTGTGAAAGAATGATTGCACTTAGTGTACAAAAAGTGGCCCCCGGTAAATTGCGCAAAAATAAAGTACTGAAAATTAGCCTAATAGAATTAATAAAGCAATTCTTCTAGGTCTTCATCATTGGCGTCGGAAGCAAATTGAAAGTGGGGGGGCTAAGTATAAAAAAAACATTTTAAACCTTCTTAAAAAACCTGACAAGCAAATTAAAAAAAAAAAAAGGTTAATGTCAATTTCCCAAACACGAAAATCATATTTCGTGAAGGGGGGGGGGGGGGGTAAATTTGAACTTCAGTACCAAATTTTTCTTCCAAACACCACCTTTTCAACATTCCCCAATTATACTGTGACGTGGCTGTGGAAAGTGGGGGGGGGGGGCTATACCTACGAAGCAATGTTCACTGTCTATACTGTGTATATCTGTCTATAAAAGGGGGGGGCTAAGTCTATACTAAGAATATATTTGGGAAAAAAGTTGGGGGGGATTAAGCCCCCTAGCCCCCCCCCCCCCCCCCCGGTTCCGACGCCTATGTTCATCGCAACTTTGCAAAATTACATGAATTAAAAGTAAGTAAAAGTAAAGAACGAGGCTGTGTTTTGTGAGAGGGGTCACTGCAATTCATGAATTTCCATTGTTATTCAAAGTTATTCCGATCTTTAAAGCTGGAATACATGGTGAGCGCATTCTTGCCCAAATTTCTCAAAAGGACAGAAGGTGTAGAACTATTGGAAATACAACATAATTAAAGGAGAATTTTGGGCAAGCCTGCGCTCGGGGTAAACTTTTTGAAAAAAGGTACAAAACGCCGACCGTCTTCTTCACTATTTACGGGTATTTACATGTTATTGACCTCATTGTGACCTGTTTAGTATTCCAATATATCACGTGATTTGTAGACTCAGGTAACTTTATGAATACAAAAAAATCAATAAATCACGTGGCTGTAGCTCCGATTGATAACAATGCATCTATAAGCGACCAACTTATACCGTTAAATGTACATTTTCAATTTATTAACATCGAATTCTTTTTTTCGGCGTAGTATTTTTATAGGGTAATGAAATATAAAATTGGACAAAATGTTATATTTTATTTATTGTAGTCCTTGGAGTTAGGGGACACGTTTGGAGAGTCAAAGAATTTCAAAGAGATTTGGTCCCAATCGTGGCAATACCATCATTCCTCAAAGTGTTTTTACTGTAAAAATATAGGCACACAGGGTATAAAAGTACGTAGATGGTTTAACACTGGATTGCTTTCGGAGCCCCCCCCCCCCCTCCCAAAAGAAAAAAAAAACAAGCAAGCAAGCAAAAAAAAAAAACAAACAAACAAACAAACAAAAAAAAAACCAATCACACATACTATTAATAAAATTGTTTTAGTAATAAAATATCACCACACGCAGCATCACAACAACACAAAAATTCTGTACACCATTATATGTACTATAAGTATTTACTGTACTTTTAAAAGTACGTAGAAAGAGAGAGAGAGAGAGAGAGAGAGAGAGATTTAATAAATTCGATACGGCACTAATCTTTTAGAAAATGCAAAAGAAGTTTTTTTTTCTGTAATGGAATTTTATTCCGTTTATATTTACAAAATTGTAGGCTTCCTTATCCGTTTATCTTGAGTGTTAAATTTTCAAATAGAAACGACTAAAATTGAGGGAGAAATCTGGATTAAATTTTAGGGAGGGATACATGTACATCCTCGCGCAAGATCCCCCGGCGCCACTCTCTTCCCCCCCCCCCCTCCCAAATCAAACAACAAAAAAACTGGCGTAAAGCTTGAGAAGTTCTTTGTTCTTACTTTTCTGTATTTTTTGTAGCCATTATAACTGGCTATAGGGACTGTAAGCTCGTACACGAGATTTCGCGAGAGGATGTAACTTCCGGTGACAAACAAAGCGTGGCTCAGAAGAGAGAATATAACTTTCAGTTTGTTTCGTTTGGGCGTATTATCACTACCAGTAAGTTTTTGCATGAAAATTAATAGAATCAAATTTATTTTCTTTTATGAACAAAAGTTCAAGAGATTTTTGTTGTAATGAATACTCTAATTTTTCAGAAATGGTTATTTTTTCCCTTATAGAGCAGACGCTTGAGAAGAGATAACCACTTTCACTTTGTGTCGTTCGGGTATATAATCACGACCAGTAAGTTTTAATATGGTAAGAAATCGAACCAAATTTATATGCACAAACAGTTCGAGAGATTGTTGTAATAAATACTCCTATACATTTTCAGAAATGGTCATTTGTTTTGCTTATGGGTGCAACCATCGCAGTGGGTCATCAGACTGTCATTTCTACCGTTTTCACCCTAAGAAAAGAGTTCTTTGGGGTCAGTTATGCAGGTATATTGAAAAAGATGTTCATTATTTATTATGTAGGCAATATCGACACACAGTGTATTCCTGGAATCATCACATATAGACTGCTTAAAAGGCCTAAACAAATACAACAGGTAACTGAAAAGATTTTTTTTTTCCTGTAGAAGAGCTGATAAAGAGCCTAGTGACCAGAATGACAGGATTTGTTCTTGTCATTTTAAAGATGGTGTTAAACAGGGTGACCCTATCTACTTCCAGCATAACTCTGGAAAACTCATGGATTTTCCTGATCCAGAACACCACAAAAGGTTTGCTATTACATGAATTAACCATGCACACTGTACAATGCACGTGTTAGTAGTCAGAAATATTTACAATACAGGGTTTGACACCAAGGTGCCTACAACCAACCCAAAGTTACACCGGTCATGTAAAATGTTTTTGAACTAGACAGATTATTTGTGTTGATAAAATGAATGGTAACCCCCATTTCAGTCTTTCAAATACTCCTAGAGATAATTTTAAAAGAAAATTTCTTACTTCAGTATTGTCTTGGACAAAATTATAAACAGCAAATTAAATATTTTATTTAAGATTGTTGAATGTTTAAAAGGCATGATGTGTGACTTGAATGTCTCAATGAATCTGATTCAGTTAGCTGGGAACTATCAAATAGTCAGTCAAAAATATTGACACATGCAAAAGACAGTTATCTTTTTAGCTCTACTGGTCAGAGACCAGAAGAGCTTATGCGATAGTAATGCGTCCGGCGTCCGTCCGTCTGTCTGTCTGTCTGTCCGTCTGTCTGTAAACAATTTTTCAAAACGCTACTTCTCCTACAATTTTAGTCTGATTTCAATATAACTTGGCACACAAGTAGACTACACTAAGATACATAAAATAGTGCATCGGTTTTTGATTTCGATGAACGGTGTTGCCATGGTTACTAAAAATAGAATTTTTTGAGAAATTCCTTTAAAACGCTACTCCTTCTACAGTTTTGGTCTGATTTCAATATAACTTGGCACACAAGTAGGCTACACAAAGATACATAAAATAGTGCATCGGTTTTTGATTTCAATGAACGATGTTGCCATGGTTACTAAAAATAGAATTTTCTGTGAAATTCCTTTAAAACGCTCCTCCTTCTACAGTTTTAGTCTCATTTCAATATCACTTGGCACACAAGTAGACTACACTGAGATGCATAAAATAGTGCATCGGTTTTTGATTTCGATGAGCGGTGTTGCAATGGTTACTAAAAATAGAATTTTCTGAGAAATTCCTTTAAAACGCTACTCCTTCTACAGTTTTAGTCTCATTTCAATATAACTTGGCACACAAGTAGACTACACTACGATACATAAAATAGTGCATCGGTTTTTGATTTCGATGAACGATGTTGTCATGGTTACTAAAAATAGAATTTTCTGTGAAATTCCTTTAAAACGCCACTCCTTCTACAGTTTTAGTCTCATTTCAGTATCACATGGCACACAAGTAGACTACACTAAGATACATAAAATAGTGCATCGGTTTTTGATTTCGATGAGCAGTGTTGCAATGGTTACTAAAAATAGAATTTTCTGTGAAATTCCTTTAAAACGCTACTCCTTCTACAGTTTTGGTCTGATTTCATTATCACTTGGCACACAAGTAAACTACACTAATTTACATATAATAGTGCATCGGTTTTTGATTTCAATGAACGGTGTTGCAATGGCTACTAAAAGTAGAATTTTCTGTGGAATTCCTTTAAAATGCTACTCCTTCTACAGTTTTGGTCTGATTTCAATATAACTTATCACACAAGTACACTACACTAAGATACATAATTCTGTGCATCGGTTTTTGATCAGTACAAACCAGTAGAGCTACAGTCTCGACAGAGACTTCTGGTTTAATATGGTTTCGAAAGTTATCTCATTAAAATTCTGGATTATATTAAGTAATTTTGGTGTCCGAAGTCTAGTGATTCTACGGCCAGGGCTAGTGATAACTAGAGGTACTGTGAGCAATGAGCTCACTAAATGATACCCCCACCTCCCATATGAATATAATGGGAGTGTCCATGTTATGTGTTGGATCAAAAAATAAAATAGGAGGCAATATGAATAAAGATTCTTTGAAAGTTTAAATCAGTGGTATGAGAGGAGTTGCAGATAAGAGATGGGTATTCCAAAGTGTAACAGATAGATAGATGGACGTACAGACAGACGGATGGACATAACGATTACTATATATCCTCCCACTTGTCAAGCAGTGGTATAAAAATATTTGAAGTAGAGAGACTGGTCTAGTTCTTGTAAAAGTTTACGTCAAACCCAGTAAAGTAATATACTGTATTATATTCGAAGAATCTTAATAAGTTCCTATTCTATCATTAATACTGGCTTAGTTAATGAGATCTTTATTGTTCTTAAAATTACTTATAGAAAAACAACATGTCATTCAAATGAAACTAAGTCAGTAGAGGAGCCAGTAGAGCAGCCTAACTGGACTGAATGCCAAAACCCTGAACAGGTATAGTAAATGAAGTTTACAGTTAGATTCTGAAATCAAACTTGTAAAGATCTCATTCAGCAAAGCCATATTCATGTATATGGAAATCACAAAACTATGCTGTATACATTACATGCATTTTTATGTACACAATAGTCCATTTTACTACAACTAGGCTATGGTAGAGCACAGTTATGCCACACCATGCACTCTGACATGTGCAGCAGAAATGAAAAGGCTTGCGTCCCAGTGCCAAACCTTGGAGGAACAAATTGCTTCACTGACTGTAGATGCTGCAAAGACAAAACCAATGTCTATAGACCAAATTAAGGACAGTGAAGAAAAGGTACAAAAGTTTCAAGTTATACTGCAAATGATCAGAATTTTTTCCCAGGTGATTGGGACCTAATATGAAGATATTTATGATTAAGAAAAATATGTACAAGGTATTATACATATTTATTATATATATTAAATTTATGATTTCAACTTAAAACCACTGAATAAAATTTAGTCAAAGCTAAATTTATGTGTTGTCTTCAAAGCAGAATGAAACTTGGAGATCACTTTATATATTTTCCTTCTGTCTGTCAGAGAACCTAAGATTTTGAGAAGTGTATCGCCAAATCCCTAACTTGGTCACTAACGTAACTGTAATTTATGGGAAACACTGCAATGTTTGTAAATAAATTTGTGATGTCATTTTTTGCAAATCTGCAATCAAATCTTGAGAAAATGTAACAGTCATGATCAAGAATGCATCCAAATTAAATAAAAATCTCGCTGAATTTTTCAATGTCAATCTTTTACATAAATACTGTATTCTGTTGTAAACTTCCCTATGTAGATCTATCTGCACACTAAAGTAATAATACTAGTATGCAAACAAATAGTTGACCGCCCTTACCTATATTTTTAAAAATGTTATATTTAAAGGGGATAATGGAGATAAGTTTAAACTTATTTAATTTTAATTTTATTTCAACAAAGTCAAATGCAATCTATTTATTGTGTAATTTTTTTAATTTCCAGATGCTGCTGTATACATCACTGCCATTTGACATATTCAGTGTATTGGTAAGACTATTGCAGAGATTTAACCTGAAATATTATAGCGAGTGGTCACCTACAATCAGGATAGAAGATCAACTTCTTATAGTGTTGATGAAACTCAAGCTTAACCTTCGTGACCTAGACTTAGCGCAAAGGTTTTGTGTGAGCCGCCCAGTTATTTCCAACATTTTTCATACCATTGTGTATGCCCTTCATGAAATGTTGTTTAAGGGAGTTGTAAACCACTGTTTCCCCAGCCAATTGAAATGCAAAGGATCGATGCCTAAGTCTTTTGCCGAGTTTTCTTCAGCAAGGGCCTCGATGGATGCACTAGAAATGACGCAAGACATTCCTTCACACATGGACATGCAGGCCATAGCCTATAGCTCTTACAAGAGCCGTCACACCGTGAAGGCTCTCACTTGTGTAGCTCCGAATGGCTCCATTACCTATTGCTCCAAGCTGTATCCAGGGTCTACATCAGATGTTGCCATTGTTCGGCATAGTGAGGTTCTGAAAAAAATCAGTGCAGGAGACCTTATCTTAGCAGATAAAGGATTTACGATTCACGACCAACTACCTCAAGGAGTGTGTCTAAACATACCTGCTTTTCTTTCATCTCGGGGTCAGTTTACCCAACCAGAGGCTGAGTTGTGCTACAAAATTGCCACGGCTCGAATCCATGTGGAACGTGCCAATGAAAGGATAAAAAACTTTGAGATACTTCATCATATTCCATCTACTTACAGAGCTATGTCTACTGTAATATTTCAACTATGTTCCAGTCTTGTCAACTTACAAGCCCCCCTTTTGAAAGAAATTGCATAAATTAAACTTTTTTACTCCTGCCATATGTTTGACATGTAGTTAACTACTATTTCTTATGTTCTTCATGATGGAGCTTAGTGTTTTTTTTTGTTTTTTGTTTTTGTTTTTGTTTTACATTTTTATGAGACAAATTCACTATTTCATGATTTGTTGTAACCCTTACTCCCGTGACAGTATGTTTTTTTTTCTTTCAAAACTAATGTCACATGTAGCAATATTCAGATTACTATTTAAAAAATTTAAGCATTATGCAAAAATGTCTATTTTGCAATCATGGAGGTAAATTTTTATGGTATTTGACAACCAAATAAAGTGCTCCTAAGATCTCAATGATTTTTTCCATTCTTTATCATGTTTGATGTATCACATATTTCTCAGCTGGTTGTGTTAGAGCTCCACAAATGCCCATCTGAAGCCTTCATTATATACTTTGATTGATTAAAAATGCTACAGCCTAATAAAATATCAAAACAAATTTAATTCCTTTTCTTTAGACTATAAAATTGTCGTCTTAGTGAGACATGTTACTCAGCAATTAATTGTAATGATAAAAAAATTAAATGTTAAGGATTTTACCATATTATGCCATAACATTTTCATTCATTAAAAGACAGTCACAGAGCAACCTTATTTTAATGTGCAGCACTTCTTTTACCCAAGAAGTATCAGCTGACGTACATGAACACCATAACATAGTATGTCAAGTCTTAAGATGTATGATAATACATAAAAATATTCTGACATGCACCTTGAATAAAAAGATAATGGACAGAATTCTTTTAATCTTTTTTAATCCATGAATGCTTTATCTTCGATATACAGTCATATAATTATACTAAATATAGACCATAGAAGTTTGAGAAAGTTTCTAGTTCTCTCTTAATGCCTGAATAAGGTACTGAAGTAAAAATCAACAAGAACTGTAACATTTTTTGCCCATTCCTTGTCCTTTACAATTCTGATGATGGCACAGTCAACCGGGGTCCAAACCATGAGGTCACAACAGTTTTTGTTGCACATGTACAGTTGACCTTGAATCTGATGGTAGTAGGCATGGTCAGTTTTCAAATGCAATGAATCTTCCTTGAATTCTGAAAATATAGGAAATATCAGTGTAAACTAAGGTCAACTTTTCTAATATAAATTTTGTACAGTGGTCATAGTCCAAATGAACATTGGTGTAATAATTGTGTGTATGCTCCTTTGCATATTAACAGGTATACAATAAAATGTACCTAAGTAGAAGTCCTTCAGACAATGGACAGGATCTTCAACTGAGAGCGAGGCAGCAGAGTAGGGACACTTAACTTCTACTAACTCAGGAATTGCTGCCCTGGCATCTGGAGTCTGGTAGGACACTTCACAAAGAGGGGGGTGCAGAACTAAACCATCTGGGGGGTGCAGAACTAAACCATCTGGTGAAGCACCTAAAGCGTCTGATTCATGAAGCCAAATTCCTGTAAAGTCAACAGAAATATAAGTCTGAATCATTGAAGAAAATAATTCTTTTCTTTTTAGTTTCTCTTGAATTTTCCTAGTTTTAAAATGTTCAAATTACCAGTTTTCTGAATAAGTGCACCAAAGTCATTCTGGTACTTCTTCAGGGCATCATCCTCATGTATTATCCCCCATGCAATGGACTTGACACTTTCTAAATTGTAGGACGACATGAGACGCTTCTTTAAAGAAGCAGTGAGTCTGAAATAAATAGTTTTCTTTTGATTAAAACAAAACTTTAATCTGATTCGGCTTATCAAAATTTCTTTAACATATGATAATAAAAATAACACAAAAAAATAAGTAATCAAACTTTAGTAAAAATGAAATCTTTGGAAGATTGAAAGAATCTGATATGTAATTCCCCTTTTCTCTCTTTATCATTCCTCCTATCTTTCTTATCTTTCTCCCCTTTACATTTTTTTGCATGTATTTATTAAAAGCTTGAAGCTGTGGATAAATTAAACAAATACATTAGCTTTAAATTGTTTCCACACACTCTTTCTATATTAATCAACACAACCATTTACGAATGTGCAAATACATTACCGTTTACGCTTAAGATTTAGCACTGCTCCAAAGTTGGAGGCAGTAATCCTATTTTTCCTCATGACTGCCCACATAGGATTTGTTCTCTGTCTTTTCGTTGCCTCTGCAGTGGACTTAATAATCTCCTCTGACAGAATCATTGCACGGCGTAACCAAGCAAGTGGGGCATCTGCATTAATAAACTCTGGATTGGTCAAAAGATCCTCTATAATAGGAGCAGGAGGAACTGGCCGCAGTGGCTCAGGTTGCAGAATCCATTCCATTGCTGAAAATATTAAAAACAATTTTTGGCGATAAGTAATATTTCTTAGATCCTTAGATGATACATGACAAAAATATCTGAATCGAAAAACAGGTGAGGTTTAACATAAAAGTTTTATAGTAGCTATCCTACAAAACATTACAACACTTTCAACATGTTCAAATAAATCTTCCTTTAATAAAATCAGTGCTTGTTTATACCCCACTTCACTATTCTTATACATGTATCTTTTAATCTATAACATGTATACATGGACATGTACATAATAAATAGTTGTAAATACTAATCATTAAAAAGATCTTTATATCAATTCTTTTAGAAAATGTAAATATTTTTAAGTAACTAAACATAACAATAACCAATGTAAGTACCGTATTAAAAATACAAGTTCATGACAAAAGTAGTACATGTACTGAAATATACATGTACATAACACAAAAAACACAACTAAATGCATTAAATGTTCCAATTTATACCAATAAACCTGCCAAGTCTGGCCAATTCCTGGTGAAGGAAATTTCTGTCCATATCATCAAAGGGCCTGTCTAATGCTTTATTTTTTACATTAAAAACAAACGGTGAGAATGATCCAAAAATGGCTATCTAGAATCTGTGGCATGTTGACACGTGAATTGTGACTGATGAATCTAAGAATTTGAATTTTATGTGCCTACATCTACAATTTTTACCTGTATTCTGGACGACTTGCAGGAAACAACTCATCCATAGTTTTGGTATTTCTTTTTATAGATGTCTTTGGATTTTTGAGCCACCCACACTTTACATCTGTTTTGCTAACGCATTTATATCTGAAATGTATAATGAGAATAAAAACAGCACTGATTCAAGCAAAAAATTGTTGCAAAGATTAGAAAAAATTTAATTGGTAGAGTGTTGCAAAGGCGGATCCAGGGCCAGTGCGCCGGGCATGCCCCCCCCCCCCCTTCCCCCATTTGAAATTTTTGTATGTACCCATAAAACAAAGCTGTTGCAACATGGTGACACACAAATTTGCCCAAAGGACATTCACAGGAAGAAGCACATACAGCATAACTATCCGCCAGAGTTGCCTAAAAAATAAATATAAGATTAATATCTAACTTGAACTGTTGAACAGTTGAAATACCCCCCCCCCCGTAACAGAAACGTGGAATGAATAAATTAATATTTAAACGGAGCCATGCACGATACGATGTACATGTGCACATCAATATTCTTGATTTAAAAAAATGTATAAGATGTTTTTTTAAATAACACTGACACAAGTGCAGTGATCACGAATATATCAGGCATATCCACAATCCACACTTACCGTGACTTTGTACGATGTATTTCTCATCGACTCTTGGACGACAACCTGTAAGGTATTTGTTTCCTTGTCGAATAAAAACTTAAGAACATGTTCGCTTGTAACAGCATTATCGGATTTCCTCATGAGCTTAGGCTTGTCGGCAGTATAATTTGCCCAGTACTTTATCGAGATGGCCATGTCACCGGAAGCTTGATACCGGAAGTGACGCTAAACGAGACTTACAGTCCCTATTTATACATGTTTTCAATCGATCGATTATACTCGGACAAGCGCAACATTCCAGAATTAACTTCCACTAGAGGGCTTTTTTAATTACCTTAAATAAAACTAAAGCGCCGTTTTCAATGAAAAATTTTGAAAGTGATGTACCACACTTATAACAAAATATAGGTTAGGTGTAAAATTATTAAGATTTGAGTTAATTGGATAAAGTTAGAGGGGTCCAAAAAAGGGATAACGGCACTATGTTTAAGTGGAAACATTCTTTATGAGGGCACGTTGTGCATTTTCATCATGAGTTATAGTCAGGATGGCCATGTAGGTTCCGACTCGGAGAGTGACCCCTATGAATCGGGGCAGGAGTCTGAGAGATCTAATCTCTCTGACGATGATAACTCTACCCATCAAGAACCAGACCTGCAAGACAATTCTGATGTCATTTCTCTGGAGGCAGAATCTGATGGGGAGAGATTTGACCGTACAAAAGGTGAGAATTCATTTTCACTGGAAGGCAGCATGGCTGCGTATACGTACTGTCAGAAATACTTTTATCAGCATTTGACAGAAGACAGTATTAAACGCAATATTTTAGACGCAGCCCCTGTGCCTGCTACTTTCTGTACACCTCCAAAAGTTGATGATTTTGTGGAGCATTTCATAGATTATAATGCTATGAAATTTTTAAAAATGCAGGACAAAAGTCTGTCATTTATTTATCAGAAAATTGGTCAGATTATGAAGCCATTGGCTAAAATCTGGCAGGCAGTTGATGGGGCCAGGAAAGGTCAGGAGGAGAATACAGAGTTTACTGTTCTTGACATGCTTAACCTCATAGAACAAACTTGGGCTGGCATCAGGTCCGAGACTTTTCACCAAGATAATGAAACCAATCATTGCGCTATTGAGACGCATAGGAGTTCGACTTGTGATTTACTTAGACGACATATTGTTGCTAAATCAATCACAAGAAGGGCTCTTAAAAGACAGAGAAACACTTTTATGGTTGCTTCCAAATCTAGGCTGGTTAATAAACTGGGAAAAAAAATCAGTTCTAACTCCATGTCAGCAATTAGAATTTCTGGGTCTAACAGTAAATTCAGTAGAAATGGAGATAACAATTTCTGCAACAAAAGTAGAGAGTATCAAAAGAAAATGTATCGACTTGATAAGCAAAACAGAAGTATTAATACAAGAATTGTCAAGTTTAATAGGGACACTGAATGCGACAGTCGAAGCGGTCATCCCAGCCTCACTGTATGTGAGGGAGCTTCAAATGTTCCAGACAAAATGCTTGTTAAAAGCACAAAGAAATTATCAACGAATGATAATAAACCTCCAGAGGGGAGATAAACTAGTGGCTACAGCAACTAGAACACTGGAACGGAAAACAAATTCGAATGTCGACAAATCCCGACTTGATCGTAGAAACAGATGCATCAAAAACAGGAGGGGGGGGGGCAGTATGTCTCAATCAGAACTTAAAGAGGGGGGAGGGGCTGGGACCCCTCAGAGAAAAAGCTGCATATCAATGTATTGGAACTCAAGGCAGTACATGTACAGTTTGCAATTCAGTCACTGATCAAACACAAACAGAACATTCATATTCACATAAAATCAGACAACACAACAGTTGTTACTTATCTGAACAAAATGGGGGGAACCAGATCAGAACTATTATTACAAATAACAAAACAAATTTGGACTCATTGTCTATCCAAAAAGATCATGATTACTGCAGAACATTTGCCCGGAATACAGAATGTTCAAGCAGACTTGGAGAGTCGTCAGATGAGGGACAGCAGCAATTGGATGTTGAACAAGGAAATATTCAAACAAATAAATCAGAGGTGGGGGCCACTAGAAATAGATCTATTTGCAGACAGGTTGAACACACAACTGAGAAACTACATGAGCTGGCGCCCAGACCCATACTCAAAGGGAACAAATGCATTCCAGATAACATGGCACAGCAAAAGGGGATATGTTTTTCCCCCATTTTGCCTAATAATAAGGTGCCTGTCCAAAATTCTGAAAGAAAAATCAGAAATGGTCATGATAACCCCTGCATGGCAGACTCAGCCATACTATCCCTTACTTCTACCTTGTCAATAGACCATCCAATGTTGTTACCTCCCATGAAAAACTCACTACTGTCACCAGAGGGACAGCCGCACCCACTAGTCAAAAGTCAAACCTTAAAACTAGTGGCCTGGAAGGTTTAAGGAGACGAAAAACAAGCAGGAGTTTTGGAACAAACTTCCGAGCTCTTGGTTGCGGGATGGCGACAAGGAACTCAGATGCATACAACAGCTGCTGGAGACAGTGGGATAGCTGGTGTAAATCAAAACAAACTGATCCATTTCAAACCACTGTGGAGCATGTAACTGATTTTTTGGCAGAACTATATGCTAAAGGTTATGAGTATAGAACAATTAACAATTACAGGTCTGCAATTTCTGCATTTCGTGTAGAAATTGAAGGCAACAAAATAGGGAAATATGACCTTATCTGCCAACTTATGACAGGAATTTTTAATAAAAAACCACCAAGGCCAAGATGTACGAAGATGTGGGATGTCAACAAAGTACTTTCTTATATCATAGGCATGAAAAGCAATAAAGAGCTGTCATTGAAGGAAATTTCAATGAAATTATGCATGATAATGGCCCTTTCCTCAGCAATCAGGTCATCTGAAATTCACAATCTTGACTGAGAACATGAACATCACTGAGGATGAAATAGTATTTACACTGAAAGATTTAACAAAGTCAAGGAGAGTGGGTCAAAATCCAATCTCTGTCAAGTTTACAAAATATCAAGAAAACTTAAAGTTAGATGTCATTTCTTGTACAATAGAATATTTGGAAAAACCCAAAATTATTAGGGCAGAGGAAACACAGCTGTTCGTGAGTTTAATAAAACCACACAAAGCACTTAGATCCTGCACAATAGCAAAATGGTTAAAAAATATTTTGGCCCTGTCAGGAATTGATGTCTCAGTGTTCAAACCCCACTCAACAAGGGGGGCAAGTACTTCTAAGGCTAATAAGTATGGTTTATCAATTGAGCAGATTATTAGCAAGGGAAATTGGAAATCTTGTGAAACATTTAGGAAGTTCTACAATCGCACAATTGTTGATGATGATAATGACAGATTTCAAGAATATGTTTTGAAACTATAATGTACATGGGCTTTAAACAATACCGTAACATCATTATACCTTACTTCAGTTTACGATATAAAATTGAAAATTTTATAAGTGCGCATTGGCGCTGAATATATATAAATGAAATGATAATCTTATGAGTAAACTGAAGTAAGGTATAACACTCCCACCCTGCCCAACCCAGTATTACAAAAAAAATGTATATATAACAAGTATAATTATTAAATATATACATATTTGAAATCTTGTATACCATGTACATTATGTATAATAATTCTAATTAAATAAGAAATCTTTTAATAAAAAAAAAATAAAAATAAAAAAAATATGAAAATGTGTATATTTATATACCTAAAATGAAATTGTTTGTAATGGTCGGTTGTTTGTTTTCAGAGACAAGAAGTAGCTAAGACGACGAAAACAAGTTAGAGGCATGAGAATGCGCAGATTCAGCAGAAACACTGAAAAGTGAAATGCGGTGCCAAAAGAGATTAGACAGTCTTATTTTAAAATTATTAAATTTGTTCTTGACTTTACAACCAGATAGTTTAAATAAAAAGGAAGGGATATACACATTATCCTTATATTTATCATTAAGTTAAAATAAAATTGTTTGAATTATATCATCTATTATCTATTTATCTGCTAGCGGAAGTCAGTCTTTGATCGCTCGCCATCGTCAGAAGGAAATGTTAATGACTTTTACATCTCGATCCCGATTACTTTAAAGGGCTTGCGAATCGAGGAAACGCGGAAGAATACATCATTATACAGTGTACCTTACTTGAGTTTACTCATAAAATTAAAATTCCATTGCGTGCGCTAAAGCGCACTTATAAAATTTTCAATTATACATTCAACTTCAATTCCTGATCATTTACTTACCTCTCAAGACAACGCTAACAAATGGTTGTTTGTGGGTACGGACGTGGAAATGGAACTCTTTTAAACCGACATTACAAACTATATACAGGACTGATTCGGACCGTTAAAGGGTCATTAATGGTAAGCTAATATTTATTTACTAACTTCAACATATCTATAATATATTTTAATTAGATGAGAAATCTGTAATTTTGCAATATTAATTTTCATAGCACTTTTGCACAGTAAGAAAGGGATTTTGGAAGTCAGATTTTTACTTAGCTATTAGCATTAAAGCTAAGGTATTTAGCTCTTCTGAGCAAAAGGCTCAAAGAGCTTATGCTATGGCCATTTGTGCGGTGTGCGTCGTGCGGTGTGCGTTAACTTTTTAGAAAATGGGCCATAACTCAAGAACGCCTTGGCCAATCAGTGTCAAATTTGTCACAGGCTATCCTTGGCCAAAGGGCTACCATTTATACTAAAATAAGGGTTGGGACCCTTAAACAAGGGGAGATAATCAGGAAAACAAAACCAAAAGTACTGGTTGCTAAAAAATCTTCTCCAGAACCACCAGGCAGATTTTCACCAAACTTACACTCAAGGATCAGAATATGTTGAAGATTAAAAATTGTTCAAGGCATGACCCTGGGGCAAAGGGCGTGGTCTCAAGGTCACTTCAAAGTTGACCTAAATTTACAATTGATAAAAACGTTTATATTTTGCTTACTATAAGGACTAAGATCATCAAAGTTGATGCATCTTAAGACTTCACATCATGTTAAATCAAAAGTAGGTCACAGTGACCTACCTTTTTTAATTTTGCGGGCATCTGTTTTCAAATTGATTTGAAGGCATATTTTGGACACTTTAAGGCCTATGATCATCAAACTTTGTTAGTTGATGCATCTTGGGTCCTTGAACAACGTCAACT